ACTAGCATTACTTGTTCCTGGCCTTGTAAACTCTCCCTATCTTGCCTTTCCTTAAAACCGTGTTCGCGAGAGTGCAGAAATGGTAAGTTACGATAGTGTTTGTCATTCTCTCAATTTGTCAGCGTAACTCCTGTTAGTGTCGTAGTTACAGACGTGTCTGTACCGATCTATGTATATGCAGGCTTTGTTTTTTTTATGAGCTGTTTATCAAACAGTGTATCTCACTTTTCCATTATTTATCACCTTACTGTTCATTTGTCAGTCTACCTGTGTGTCTACTTGTCTACATAATCACCGGTCTGTCATCATCCATCACCAGGAACGTTATTTCCGACAGTTTTCTAGGAAAAATTTTTTTTAATTAAATCTTGTAAATGTGACCATATTTCTCACGGTGAAATTATTCCATAAGTGCAGAGAAAGTTGCCATATTCGAGAGAGTTTAATCATTTTGTGATGAAGCATAAATCTGCGTACATGTAGCGCCGATGAGAGAGTTTTGGCCTTTGATTACCCACTGTAGATTACGGGGGTCAACGCCCCCTGGGTAAGGCCCCAGACCAGGCCTCCTAACTGAGGACCTAATCTGCAAATAAGTGTCCAGCCTTACACAGAGTAAACGAAGTTGAAATTAACCTTTAATCTTCCCATAATTTGCTCATGTTAACTTATCCCATCCCAAATATAGCTTAACTAACTCATCCTGGTGCAGCTCATCCTCGCACCAAGGGTGATACACGTTTAATTTTTCCTCGGGCATCCCGTTGCTAAACGTACCGCAGGGTGCTCTTCTAATCTGCTTGTTAATCTAGTTTAACCCAACCTAAACCGACCAAACTTAAATTAACCTGGTTTAAAATACAGGAATTACGATTTAAAAAAAATAGCGACTCTTAGACATTGACGTTGAGAAAAACGTCAAAAATTTATGTTCTGTAATGAGACTGTGTTGTCTGGCTATATGTATAGTGTAATGTCATTTTTTTTAACCACTCATATGCTCTGTGTGTGTACTTACATATTGTCACCAAAAACCCATACTTGGAGAAACCTTATGACGAGGTTCCGATCCCCTTTGGAACATTGTTAGGTATGGGTTTGTGATGAATTGTTCCAGCCACAGTATTGTGACCTTTGATTTAATCTCATCATAGCTCAAAATTCTTAGCTTCGGGACAAACCAGGTTGTATACCTAAAATATTTTTCCCCCAGTTTCTTGACATGGATGATGAGGTATAGGTTCTCTTCTGGTTTTGCATGTTCTAACATTAGCCAGGTATATGCCGTATATAGTGTCGAGGGTGACTCCTTGCTTCTCTTTCCGAAAGCTACTCTTAAATTTAACAGAAACGTATTTGCTGAGACAATAACGACGAGCCTGACCCATGGTCGGGCTGCGGGAGTAGAAAGACTTCCGAACTTATCAAGGGTATATAATCTGTATATAATTTGGTTGATTTGCGTCGGTCGATATGCTCGACATCCTCCTTAAGTAAGGTTTGCAGCATTTATCCCCTCCCCTCCCCCTCAGTCTGTACTACATTTACTGTCTTCTATGCCCGTCTCCAGTCGTTATAACTTTTGCACTTGCTGGGGTTAAATTCTAATAGCTTCTTGTTTCATATCATCTGCGGACAGGGGTACCTCTGACTACATTTTTACGTTATGTCGTTCACGTACAGAAGGGTTTGAAAATTACCAGTCCTAGTACTGACCCTTGTGGAGCCCCACTCGTTTCACTCGCCCATTCCAACACTTCTCGCAAAATCACTCGTTGTTGCCTTCCTGTTAAGTATTCCTTGATCCTTGTAGTGCCTTCCCGGTTATTCCTGCTTCTTCTAGCTTTTGTCCCAGTCTCTTGAGTGTTATTGTACCAAAAGCCTTCTTACAAGGTAAAGGTATAGGCAAGGTATACAGTGCAACAATATGCAGTCCATCCATTCCCCTCTGTCTTGCCTCACTCTTGTTAACTTACCATGGAACTCTAGTAGGTTTATGAGACAGGATTTACCATCTCTAAAACTGTGCTGGTTGCTGTGTGTGTACTTACCTACATGTGATTGAAGGGGTTGATTAACAGCTCCTGGCCCCTATGTGTGTGTGTGTCAAACGGTAAAAAAGACTGCAACAGAAATAGCAGATTCACTACGCAAGAGCTGCCTTCCTGCTGCTGCTGTGATTATTGTCCTTCCTGCCTCGAGGTGCTGCATCCGCCCCGGCCTCGTCCTCTCTCTCTCTCTCTCTCTCTCTCTCTCTCTCTCTCTCTCTCTCTCTCTCTCTCTCTTTTTTTAGACAGGGTTTGATAAGGTTAGGTAAGGATCCTTAACTTTATTGACAAGCTAAAAGCTGTTACCTACATCAGCTCATTTAAAAGCATTATTATTGTTATGAGACACACAAATAAAAATGGTTTCAAATGAGCTGATGTAGGTAACAGCTCTTAGCTCTCTCTCTCTCTGTCTCTCTCTGTCTGTCTGTCTGTGTCTGTCTGTCTGTCTGTCTCTCTCTCTCTCTCTCTCTCTCTCTCTCTCTCTCTCTCTCTCTCTCTCTCTCTCTCTCTCTTTACGCAGGGTTTGACAAAGTTAGGTTAAGGATCCCTAGCTTTAATGACAAGCTTTATACAAGTTAAGGATTTCTAACTTTATTAACAAGCTAAGAGCTGTTACCTACATCAGCTCATTTGAAAGCATTTTTATTGTTATGAAACATACAAGTAGGGAACAGGATGAAGTTGGAGCCATCTATGGGCCAGTATTTTCATGTGATCAACTGACTTTATCTCGTTGATATCATAATGCTGTACGAATGTGTTCCATACTCGAGTCATCCTGGGAATAAATGATCTCAGATGTAGTGATGTTCTGGAGAAGGGTACAGCCAGAGTGAAGTTGCTGTTTTCTGCCCGTCTTGTGGTATAGAAGCTTGCTTCACGCTGTCCTCTCTCTCTCCCTCTCTCTCTCTCTCTCTCCCTCCCTCTTTCCTTCTCCCTCCCTCTCTCCTCTCACTCTCTCCCTCATCTCAGCTGACATTTTAAAATATCTAGACTAACTGCTATAACCCTAAAGTGTCTGATCGTTAGTGTATACATTAGCAACAGTGTTTAACCAAACACTTAAAATCAAAATGCTAAATGACTGGAAACTGGCAAAGTGTCACTTGTATAAAAGAAGACGGGAACAGCTTACTAAACCAGCTTCATATGAGCTCATATGAAGCCTCTATCAGCAGTCAGAGTGTTGCAGCCTTAGAGGGAAGCGAAACAGTGTCTTACACCCTGTAGGATTTCGCAATAAAAGACTCTGCGTGAGGAATTGATTTGGAATTTTTTAATTAAACAATAAACCCCTTTTGGCAAGCTGCTCTTATATAGTGCAAGTTTTTGTAAGGGCTATTGAAAAATACTCCCAAGATTGAACAGCAGTAGGAAAGGCCTTCATAGTAATTGGTAATCGATTTTGGATAAACTTTTTCAGTCACATTCACAAAATAATCACACTCTGAATTATAAGAGAGCCTAGTGTACCAAGCCTTTGACAATTTTAAGTAAAATAAAGTTGCATGGTTTGATAACTGATATTTAAGTTCCTTTGACTGCATGAGAGTCATTATGATGGTAATCTCCCTATGTCTTTGGCACTAACATAAAGGATGCTTAAGCACGTAAAATTAGGATTAATAAAGTAGACTAATAAGGATCGTACTAAGGAGAAGGAAAATCTTGGGTATCGTTCCTCTCCCTCTTCCTCTTCGTATATAAATACGTACCTAGGTAAGCCAGTTCAGTGGCTATAGACGTAGAAAACTCATTTCACTGTAGACAACTGTTAAGTATGTAGTTCACTTTGGATGCAGTAATGTTTAACAGGTAAAAACTCTTCCAAAGTTGCTACCGGAACTAGCAAGAGGACCTTGCAGCGGCCATTATGGATGACCTTAAGTACGCATAACGTTGTTTATCCTCGAGTAACAAACACTAGAAATTTCGAGTATAAAAATATCAGGAAACGTTAGTGAGAATGTTGCACGATTCTTCTCTAGAGATAATAAAAAATTAGGTACTGAGAGAGTGGAGACCTAAACTATTATAGAAATCTGTGGTAATACCTACTTGTAGTTGGAAAAAACACACACACTAAACAATAAACTGGAAACCTTTCGGTTCTCGGACTGAAAGAAATATCCACTAGAAAACTCTAAGAAATAAACTTGGTTTCTCTAAGAAAACAAGATATTGTGAACTTTATAATATAAACCTATAAGACAATGAAGAAATTTGCTACACTCCAACCTGCAGAAGGCAGAAACATTGCAGTAGGCCTGAAGGTCAGGCCTCGTTCAAGATTCGACCTCGGGTCCTCTCTGTTGTGAGCTGAGCGCTCTTCCATTGACGAATAGACTTAACATCACAGTGACGCGAGGTGATCTCAGGGTTGACAAAAAAAGTGAGTATTGCTCTAGGCCTACAGGCCCATACTAGGCATGCCACACACCCACCTGCTTCTATATCGGTCCAACTCACCCTTAAAACTTTTCAAGGAATTTGCTTCCGTGGAAAAATTTGGCAGTGTTTCCCGAAAAGTGGCCGTCCTCTGGGACAAAATTTCTACCTTTCTTTTTTATACTTTGGAGTGACAGAGAGAGAGAGAGAGAGAGAGAGAGAGAGAGAGAGAGAGAGAGAGAGACACAGAGAGAGAGACAGACAGAGAGAGACCATCAGACCATTTATTATCAAGAAGTGTTTGAGAGTGCTGACATATGAATTTACAAGCGATTATTTATTTTTGTTTTAAAAATTTTATCTAAAATCTAACGTATCAGACATTGAGCTACGTACACAGGGACATTGTTTATGTGTTATCATATCAAGCTTTTTAAGTTGGACACACAAGTATTTCGTGTAAGACTTTCGGTAAAAAAAACTCATCGCGTGTTTGTAAAACTTTAAATCAATATTTACAAATTCCTCTCTTGTATATTTTTTATGTATACTAACATACAAAAGTTAAAAGTATTTTAGTATAATTCCAGAAAGATTCTTTTGACCCTTGTGGTAGTTTAAACCACTACTATTAAAGACCTTTAGGCAGATTACTGTAATATTGATGACCGCAAGGCTCTCCTACTAATCACACGGCTGACAGTGCAGGGTCGTGTGCTAAGCTCGGAGTTTCATTTTCTATTTTATGTGGGATATTTCTCGTCGTTTCCCAGTATTATTATTTCTTCGTAACGTTACTGGTACATATCTATATATGTAAAGCGGAGAGCAATTTTTTATTGATACGAAAGTTCCGTTCCGTCCAATTGAAGACACGAGGATTGAGAGAAAATGTACGAGGCTGAAGAATCATCCCCAAAGAAAACGGAAGTGTCCACGCCTGGGGGAGGAGGCTGAACTGTGGTAGTTGTGTTGGAGGCGTTGGTGGAGGTGGTTGTTACAGCTTGTGTTCTGGTGTGAAGGTTATCCTTCTCATGGTTACTTAGTTTGGTAGTGACTCTTGAGGTATTGTGAAGTGTCTAGAACTCCTCTGTAGATCAACACTTCATTACCCAAGTGAAAAGTGAACCAGTACTTTTTAGTGTTATTATGATTTGTAATCCGCCGTGATCTTATTACTAGAAAGCATTTCCATGTGGAAGTTAGACCGTAATAGAAGAAAATGGACACTAATATTATTTTAGGGTAAATAAATGAATGAGTGGGTGGGTGAATCAGCGAATAGCTTAGGAGTGCCAGTCTAGAGAGTGTCATTCTAGAGTGTGCCATTGCAGAGTGAGGGTGCCACCGTGAGAGCAGCAGTGTACGGAGTGCCACAGTGAGCACCATAGCTGTGTGGCTGACCTTGGCATGAAGCTTCAGGGGGGTAACCTCTCGCGTTACTAAACTCATATTGTCTCTCGTAATACTTAGCATATGAACCTCGTGCTGGGTCCACTCCCTCCCGACCACACCCAGCTGTCAGCTCTGCTGCTGCTGTGGTTCCTGCTTTCATTAGACGAGAGTAGCACTACAGTAGGTCTACTGACCTATGCCAGGTTGCTATTTGCACACATACTAACACACACGCGTACACACACACACACAAAAAAAAAAAAAAAAAAAGGGGAAAGTGTCTATCGGCAAGTACCTCTGACAACTTTTAACTACTGCACTCACTCACGTGTCTAACATATATTTTTTTAAAATCTACTCAAAGTAATTGTTTTATTGGCGATATTTAACAGTTCCACTCATCTACAACTTTACTGGTGGTAAAGAGAAACTTGTAGGAAATATTTTTTTTATTAATAAAAGGTTTCAAACAGCAGAGGCTTCATGAGGTACTTTATGATGCCCATAGCTGGAAACCTTGCATAAACAGAAAGTTATATTTACCATGAGTGTCTCTTAGCCACCATTCGTTGGCTTCGTATATTTCTGTATAGAAATTTCCATTACCAAGTCAGAGTTGTCCCATATTTACTTTAAATGTAAATATGTCTGATATGAATGCATTACTGAGAGTTTCTGTCCACTTTAAACGTATTCAGAACCATATTTACGTCTCCCTTCATATACATTTATGCCTGTCTTACCTGCACACAGTTTTATCCCGCCTCGTCACGTCTTCCTAGAGAACGTTAGCTCGCTGCTCGCAAATTATCTTAGGAAAGATTTTTTTAATACGGAGAAATAACTTTACCATCTTGCTCTATGCTTGCCAGCACATATAATGTCCGGTAACATGGAGACCAGAACTGCCCTGCGTAATCTAGAAGCCGGATGTTATAACCTACTCTAACAGAACTTTATCAGTGTTGTATAGAGCTACTGTATACCCTCGAGATTTCTTTTACTTATCCATCTTGATATGAAGCTAAATTTTATTAGCTTCATTGTGAAATATTATGCACTGTTTCCTTGGTTTAGGATGTCTGCTGAACGAGAACTTTTTAATATATATATATATATATATATATATATATATATATATATATATATATATATATATATATATATATATATATATATATTTGCATTGTTTCATTAAAACATATTTACTTTATATGTGCCGCGATGGTTCGTCAAGGCGACATCTTATTACATCGGTTAATAACGACGTAATAATGGTTCCGCATCGTTAACTTTGAGAGGCAAGACTTGCCGGCGAGTCACTGTGTGCAGAGCAAATCCTGTTTATATCGATTGTTTCGTTCTGTTTACAGCGAAACGTCGCTCATAAACTAACAGTTTGCCCTGCGCAGTGTCTTTACAAGTGAATCCTCCTCGTTAGTTTAGCACTGGGAGAATGCCTTGTAAAGCCGAGTCCCAAAAACATTTCACTTCGTCTGAGAAGCATGTAACTAGCGCCTTCGATCTTGCATAATTTATTATCGTCCTAACCTACATAAGAGTTGACTTCTGGAATTTCGTTTCTTTCTTCTTGTGGAAAAAAAAAAAGAGACTCCCAGAGAAAAATATTTAAACCAAAGTCGTGCCTTTGTTCTGGCCTGGTAAACACTGATGTTCATTAATTTTTGCACCACACTGTAGGTGTTCGCATTCTTCACTCCAGGTCCTTGGATAAAAATGTACTCTTCATCTTCTCCATTTCCATACTGACCATCACTTTCAACACACTGCTTTCTCTTTCTCTTCCATACACTTCTCGGTCTTCATGGTCTTCCTTAGACGTTCAATCTGTCTCTTCACCTCATGTACCTGCCTCTTTACCTTCAGAGCAGAGCTCTGCAAGGTTCACTGAAACCAGCGCTCAAAAATATTAAGAATTTATAATGTTTAGTGGTATCCTAGTTTCTCTCTCTCTCTGGATTGAGAGGGGAACTGGTGCCTAGAGACAGGGTCACGTGACCTTCGATAACTTCCAGTCTGTGATGTATATCTCAAACACATGATACTCTCAACACACAAATATCTTGCTGTTTTTAAGGCCTTTCTCGAGTCCATATTAACATAAACACGTCTGTGAAGTCACAGTTCAACAGCCCTTCTTGCTTTCCTGTGTCTCAACTCGTTCAGTCACACACAATTGACGACTAAGCTTTTCATTTGGTATTGTTGACTGTGGAACCAGTGTCGGGTCCCACAAGTGACCCCAGTATCAAATCCTTCCATTGACCCCAGTATCAAGTAATTCCAGTGGCCCCAGTATCAAGTCCTTTCTATGGCACCAGTATACTATTTTGGCCCTGGCTTGTCACTCTCTCCCTGAACGTCTCCTCTTAACTGTTCCTGAAGGCTGTAGTCTGTTACAGCTCTGTTCAGCCATCACCTGAGGTACTCGTTTCACGTAGTGAACTTTCAATGTATTGAGGATAGTAACACAGGTGCAGTTGCTCCACCTCAGGCATAAGTTCTGATGACTTCCCTGTCCCATCTGTGTATTTGTGTATTCCTCGATTGTGTTGACAGTGACGGGTCTTGACCCCCCCCCCCAGGCTCCACCCACAAACTTCGTCGATCGATTTACTGATTTCAGGCTGTTCGAGCCCAACCATACCTACTCTGAAAACTGTGTGTGGGACACCAGCTTTTGGATCCTCGCTTTAATCAATCTTAGACGGGTGTAGTTATCTCTGGCTTTTGGAGTCTCTCGTGCCTATTTTTGAAACCATGTGTGGAGTCTTGTCGCATCTATTTTTAGTGTGTGTGCGTGTGTGCGTGCGTGTGCGTGTGCGTGTGTGTGTTCGTGTGTGTTTACAGCTTCGTTCTTAAAGCGACCACGACTCTAACTTTTGAACGACGATCTTAAAAATAACACATACGCGAATATAGCTCAAGACTGTGAGTGTATGGGCGTGTGGGCGTTGGTGGGGTAGAACACCAGGCCCCTGGAGAGCAGTGAGTGTGTACTCACCTATATGTGCTCATCCGCATGTGGTTGCAGGGGTTCGAGTCTCAGCTATTGGCCCCCTGTTTTTGTTAGCAGCTACTGGGTTCTTTTTCCCTTAGCTTCGAGAGCATTTTCGTATTTCATCTTAAAGCTATATATGGATCCTGCTTCTACCATTCCAACGTCCAGGTACTTCCACTTCCTGACTACTCTAAGATTGAAAACTGGGAGTTGAAAACATAGATAAATCCTTGGGATTTATCTATGTTTTCAACTCCCAGTTGTGCCCTCGTGTACCTGTTTCCCATCTCTTGAGCAGTCTGTCGACCCTATCATTTCCTATCGGTATTTTGTACATTGTTATCGTGTCGCCTCTATTCCTTTTTTCCTCTGGTGTCATCAAGTTTGGCTTTCTTTAGTCTTCTCTCAAAGGATATACCTGTTAACTCCGGGACTAATCTTGTTTTTCTAGTCTCCAGTTTCTTGACATGCTTGACCAGGTATGGGTGTAATAATGGTGCTTCATACTCCAATATGTGCCTGACATATAACATATATAGGTTCGTAAATGACTCTGCTTAGGGGTGTGTGTGTGTGTGTGTGTGTGTGTGTGTTAGTTACCATTTTGTCCCAGGCACATGTCGACCAGACACCAGGCCCGCAGCATATGCGTGTACTCACCTAGTTGAGGTTGCGGGGGTCGAGTCCGAGCTCCTGGCCCCGCCTCTTCACTGATCGCTACTAGGTCACTCTCCCTGAGCCGTGAGCTTTATCGTACCTCTGCTTAAAGCTATGTATGGATCCTGCCTCCACTACATCGCTTCCCAAACTATTCCACTTACTGACTACTCTGTGGCTGAAGAAATACTTCCTAACATCCCTGTGATTCATCTGTGTCTTTAGCTTCCAACTGTGTCCCCTTGTTACTGTGTCCAATCTCTGGAACATCCTGTTTTTGTCCACCTTGTCAATTCCTCTCAGTATTTTGTATGTCGTTATCATGTCCCCCCTATCTCTCCTGTCCTCCAGTGTCGTCAGGTTGATTTCCCTTAACCTCTCCTCGTGTGTGTGTGTGTGTGTGTGTGCGTGTGCGTGCGTGTGTGTGTGTGTGTGTGTGTGTGTGTGTGTGTGTGTGTGTGTGTGTGTGTGTGTGTGTGTACTCACCTAACTGAACTCACCTTACTGTGGTTGCAAGAGATGAGTCCCAGCTCCTGGGCCATGCCTCTCTGCTGGCTGCTATTGATTTCACCCCTGGCAGCGTGAGCTCTATCAACTTACTCTTAAAGCTATGTATGGATTCTACCTTTGCCACTTGTCTGTCTGGGTCAGTCCACTTCCTGATCACTCTAAGGCTACAAAAAAAAAAAAAAAAAAGAAACAGTGTTTCTTAACATCCCTGTGACTCAAGTGTGCTTTTGACTTCCAGTTGTGACCTCGTGTACACTCAGACCTGCCTCTCAAACAGACTCTCCCTGTCAGTTCTGTACTCACCTATTTGTACTCACCTATTTGTGGTTGCAGGGGTCGAGTCCTAGCTCCTGGCCCCGCCTCTTCACCGGTTGCTACTAGGCCCTCTCTCTCCCTGCTCCATGAGCTTTATCAAACCTCGTCTTAAAACTGTGTATG